CGCCAACAGCCTCTGCCACTTTCCCGCTCCTGTTTCGAGTGTCGAGTGGAGTGTAACGACGAACTGTGCCAGGCTCGAGTGTTTTTTAACGAAGATTACCCTGTGACGCAGCTCAAGTGCCGCACTTGAAATTGAAGTGGAGTGAAGTGGTGTGGAACGAGGCCCTTAGTATACAGCCGCCTAGCACAGATCCTATTATCGTACATTGTATTCCCGAGTGTAGTTACTATTAATCCCGCCTGTTTTTGGAGAAGCTTGCTACTTGCGACAGAACGGAAAAAAGGAAAAAAGGAAAAGTCCAAAAATGGAAATAAAACATGCATGGGCCGTAAAGCTGTGTCCCAAGTACACAGAGGCAATCCACAGCAGGCCTTTCTTGCCCCTTTACTGGTCACAAGAGTGCCTTCCTCCTACACCTACCCACTAATTGCCGACCATCCGAATATCCACCCCTTTTTTTGCTTCATACCAGACATAACGAAACAGGAGGAAAACAGGCAGAGATTCAGTCAAAAAAAGGACAACGGAAGAGGAAGGGCTATCAGTCAAACAAAGCAAATGACACCTCCCATTTTTTTCCTTTTCTTCAGCAATTTGTTCTTGTTTTTCTTCTTTTTTTTCTTTTTTTTTGAGCGACTTCCTTGCCACCACATTCTTCCCTTCGCCAAGCTTTCTCCTCTCCCTTTTTCCTGGTCTGCTTCGCTTCTTCTCCTTGCTGTTCGCCCCCATTGTATTCAATGCAGGAGAATTGCTTAATCGGCATGGTTTCTAATGCTCTCAGTCCAGTAGTCTGTGTCGTTGCTATGGGAAGGACAACGTAGTTCCCCCAGCCATATCGACGCAGCCAATTGTACAAAATTGGTGACCTGATGAGACCGGAGCACACCCGGCGTAGAGACGTAGAGAATGCGTGCGCGATGATTCGAGCTTGTTGTACACGCTGCATTCACTAATGGAATATTGTTTTTTGCATGTAAAGAGCAATCGGCCATTGCTTGTCTATCTTCTTCTTCTTCTTCTTCCCCTTCTTCTTTTGCATGTAAAGAGCAATCGGCCATTGCTTGTCTATCTTCTTCTTCTTCTTCTTCCCCTTCTTCTTCTTCCCCTTCTTCTTCTTCCCCTTCTTCTTCTTTTATTTCCTCTTCTTCTACTTCCGTCTTCTTCTTCTCCAACTTTCTCTTTGACACCTCCCACCTTTTTTTCTTGAGTGATAGTCTGGTTTGATTTTCCTCACAGGTACCTTTAAGGGCAGTGGTTGGTGCCTACCTCTGTCCACCCCTAGAGGATTTTTTTCTGTTGCGACAGAGAGACGTGAAGGTGGGTTTCGGTACACATAGGCTTCGCTACATCAACCAAGGGTCCGTCAGGGGACACAACCTTCGTTACATCAACCCAATGGAATGGGGCCTTCACTTACCTTTCTGTCGAGACACAGAGACTTGGAGCGGGATCGGTTGCAGGAAAACTGAATGGAAAGTTTCACTCCATTTACAAAAATCGTCACCGGTTCCAACCTCGCACGGGTTCACAGAGAAATCCGCAGCGGGATCTCGCCAGTGTTGCAGTACTGGGAGAAAAAAGTAGAAACAGGTTCATATACCAGTTATAAATCCAACCTCGCACGGTTCACAGAGAAATCCGAGAATTTAACCCAGTTCACAAAACTCTCTCTCTCTTCACAAAACGCTCTCTCTCTCTCTCTCTCTCTCTCTCTCTCTCTCACACACACACACACACACACACAGATCTCGTGTGTTACCCATGTCAGTCAAAACCTGCGTCATCATACCTCTCTCTCTCTCTCTCTCTCTCTCTCTCTCTCTCTCTCTCTCTCTCCTGTCTCTTATACACATCTGATGTGTATAAGAGACAGGGGTAGGCCAGTCCAGGCCGGTACCTTTGTTGGTACCAGTCAGTCCGTCGGG